GTGTAGTACCTTCCATTTCCTTTAAGAACTTTTCCTTTGCATCCACAACTTGGCTATTTGGCAAAAAAAGGGTCTACCTCTCAGTCTCTCTCTGCTTTGCATGTGCCTTTCTTTAAGCTTAATCACTCCTGGGGTTTTTATATTTCAAGTGAGAGACATGAGATTTTCCTTTCATTTGAATATTTAGGGGCCATAATAGGGTTATTTGTTAGCCTAGATTCACTATTATTGTGCCTCAGGGAATAGTGAGGCCCAAAAAGAGGGAAAGAGGTGAGGCAGTGACTGGCTGGTACAGCAGTGAGGACAGTCACAGCATTCCTGGTCAAACTCGCTGTCTTACGTGGGTGTGGTTCATGGCATCTCTAAACAATAGTATATCAAAGATTGCTGATCTCATAGTTCCATGACAGATAAAATAATACTGAAAAAAAAAGTTTGACATACTGCAAGAATGTGACCCAGAGAGAGAAAGCAAACACATTATTGGAAAAATAACACTGATAGATTTTCAGGGTTGCCATATTTGTAATAAACATGTAAAAAAAAAACCCACAGTATCTGTGACGTGCAATGAAATAAAAGCATAATAAACAAGGTATGTCTGCCCACATGGATATCTAGAGCTGACTTAAGTGTACAGGCTGTTGCAAACAAGTTATTATGCAAATACCAAGGCATTTTACATGAAGGATTTGGGCATCCACAGTATGCGTGCATTTGGTATGCATGGGAGGGAGTTCTGAAACAGTACAGATACCAAGAGATGACTGACTATGTGCTTTACAAAATCAGTATTTTCCCAATTCTATATAAATGCTGTTTTTCTCATTCAAAATAAACAGGAGTATGGTGCAAGAGTTTTATTTAAGTTTAGATGCAAATTACTATGGTGAAAGTGATTAATTCAACCCACATGTTACTTCCATACTAATATCTGTAGCAAGGATTAGAAAGGTAGATAAATGACTAACCCCAAGGCAGGCAAGTGTTCTGACAAAAAGGAAAGATCCACCCACCTTGTCTTTAGCCTTGTTTCAAGGCTGCAGGAAACATGGAACACTGTTCAAAGGAAATTTTATCCTTTGCATTTGTAAGAAAAGCATATTCTGATGCTCTGCCTTGAAGCAGGTGAGAGAAGGAAGCAGGAAATGAGGAGCAGTGGTTTCAAGTATCACTAACGTTCTACAGCCAGTCTACATCTGTTTTACCCGTAAGAGCTTCTCACAGATGAATTGTTTTTGTGGATTCATTTGGGGAATTATTCCTGCAGGTGGGACCTATTTGCTCTCTCATCACAAGCTTCCAGGTTAATCTGGTGCAAATTTAAGTAAGGATTACTATGATAACATTTCTCTTTATATAAGTAATTGTATAAATTATAAATTTGAAGAATTTAAGAAGTGTGTTCCTTAAGTGAATGTGTATTCATTCCTTGTAAAAGAAAAAAAGCAGAATGTGATTGTTCTTGCAATGCCTGCTTTGTGTTTATCAGAAAAAGCTGCTAAAGATGATAGAAGTTAGGACACATTCAATGTATGTGCAATGTATGAATTCGTGTATGAGGGGACCTCCTTTAAAACACCAGCTACATTTTTACTCACCCTAGACATGCTTCCAGTCATGTAATATTATTAAGCAGTTTGTTAATACAAAAGGTGATTAGGCAAGACCACCAACCATATACATGACCTTAACACTTTAACCAAAAATGAAATTCAAATCATCTATTATATGTAACAACAAATGAGCACTATGGACACTTGAAATCATTATTCAAGATATTTTATGTAATCTTGCAATTACAGCATAGGCATATACTAAGAGAATATGAGAACGCAAAGAAGAATACAAAGCCACTGTCCGGGCATTTAAAATAACAGCTCTTCAAAAAACTTACAAATGTTTTACAAATAGGATTCCTGAAAACGTTGGGAAAAACTAAAACTTCATTATAAACATTATAATTTCAAATGGTATGTCACTTAGTTTGCAGCAAGCAGTTATATATTAATTAAATGTTTATATCCTGTGAGCTAAGACGTAATGCATTTTACATTCAAGTTGAAGTAATTCAGCACCATTTTAACTTGAAGGATAAATGAAATTCTTTGTGTTCAAAAGTGGCCCAAGCCTTTCAGTAACTGGAAATGAAGTTTGTCAACTGACTATATCGATTATGTATCTGAATTCAAAAATAAAAAATAATAGAAGAGGGATATTTTATATCAGCTAAAATATTATTAGTGTCAAAACAAGTTTTTTGTTTGTTTTTGTTTTGGTGGTACTGGGGTTTAACCTCAGGGGTTCACTAAAAGGCAGGTGCTCTACCACTTGAGCCACACCTCTAGCCCTAAAACAAGTTATTTTTAAAACAAAACATTTCCTGATCAGGAATTCAATATTTTCATGCAGTCTGCTAAAAATTAACTCTCAATGCTAGGACCACTTTAGTGAAATATATTTCCTCTCAAATGTGAGTGTTGGGAATGATCATGAATGTGACTACCATGAGATTTCAGAGCAAGAGATTGTTTTTAAAAATAATGTTTTTTAAAATAATGTTAAAATAACATTATTATATAAAAATATAAGGATTTTCTGGAAATAGGCAGATGTGTGTTCATATGTGTTGCAGTACTGTTAGGAAGGCCAAAACTTCGTTAAGCCAGACTGTGGTCTTAATAATTTTGAGATCACTTAGATGGCAGATAGTAGACTCACTAAATTATCTTCCATTTTTTCACAGCCTGTATCAGTGTACAGTTAAGTCTCTTCTCAGCACACAATATTCATCTCTATTTTCCATTTTTAAAATATTTTATTTAGGGTTCAGTAAGACTGGATCATGTTCTTTATTTTATCAAAAACCTTCACCAGCAGTTCATTATCTATGACTGTTGGTTATTCAGAGAAAAGACCCTTGCGGTTCAAAAATATTGAGTGCTAAATCAATACCTATAAGTGATTTTTAAGTGTTAAGTGACGCTGGAAAAGGGAGGAATGTTCACAGAATGAATAAACAAGGAACTTTAGCTTCCTAATTGAAAAAAATATTTTAAAAATCAACCAATAGTACATGTTATATCTAAAACTTATCAGGGGTTTATAACATATTATTAATTATTAGAAATATATACATGCATTTAATTTTTAACTTTTAACATATTTTTAAAAAAACAAAATATGGCTATGAAATATGATAGTGCTTAAAAAATTTTTATAGACTTGTACTTTTAGTTGTTAAAAATGAAATAAAATGAACGTAATGGGTAATAATGACTTTTTTCATATTTGTTAAGTTTAGGGATATCTTTTTCATGTCTCAAAGCCTAGCATGAGGGCCTGGCTTATCTTAGGCCCTCAAATGATGATGGGATGGACAGATAGAAGGACTGCAATGTGTTTTTTCCTGTGTATCCAAAGGCCATGATATCGGCTGGTCCTTACAGAGGTGAGAATCTTACGAAACAACAGATGTTAAGTCTGTAGATGCCAGGCTGGCTCAGTAATAATACTGACAGTAGTTTTGTTTTATTTTAGAAAGCAAGTATATTAAAATATCTCTGTTAGAAAAGATTACAATTTGAAAGATCATTCTACAATCTTAAAACTAAAAAGCAATTTAAGGCAAAGAGGTACATCAAAGAAGCTATCCCAGAGCTCAGATCCTAGCCCAACAAAAGTTCTGTCTGTATTCGCTTTTTTTTGGTAAATGTGTACTCTAGCGGACAAGGACCATGGGGACCACTCTGTCCGCCCCTCCTCTGGCACTATGCACCCAGTGAGTGCAGTGTGACTATTAGTAATCGGTGTTGACTTTACACCTCTATGACATTTAACACAGGATGCCAACTCACTTTTGAAATTCTACCTACCATGTTCTGGCACAGGAAATGCCTTACTTGAGATTTTAATATTGATCAATGTGCAGGAAAACTTCTGCTTAAGTACCACCAACTTAGAAGTCTGATTTCTTTCTGCACCTTTTGAATTTCTGAAAAAGACAGATTCTCCAAATTCGTTTGTCGCACATAGTTTCACAGTTTAAAATAAAATCACAGCTGTCTCGTTATGGGGCACAGTCCTTGGTTTTGCAGAAAGTACTTTCTCCTTATTCAGTAACCCCTCAAGTAGTAATGCTATGTGCTTTGCTAATTCAGACTATATTTCAGACACACACAAAAACATGTAGAACCTAGTATGATGTTCCTGTATTGCACAATACTGTGTCATGTATTCTGGATGATTTAAATATTTTAGCATTCCTCTTTTTAATACCTGAACATTAAAAAATGTAGAACTGAAAATCATAAATCATTTTTTAAAAATATTTGAAAGACAATTGTGGTTTTAGAGACTTGGTTGAATAATTTTTATGTTAGCACAGCTAAAATTATAATATGCTTAGATTCATATTGTCTCTGGACGTACCATGTCTGCCCTCAGAATGACTTTCCAGTTACACAGTTGTCCTATGTATTATTAGTCCCCACAATGGTAATTTAAAGATTGCCACTTTAAACATCTCTGCCCATAGAAAAACTAAGAGTAGAGGGGAGCGTTGACAAATATCAGACAGGAATTGGGCAGCTCAGTTACCTAATTCATTCCAAAACACAAGTTGACTCAAGTTGGAATGAAATTGTGCACTTGGCAGAAAGAAAGTTATCTACTAATTTAAAAATGTAAACATAGTTTTATACAGGGATGTAACTATTTGAATACATATGTTGCCATTCTCTGCTATATAGGAATATCTCTGACACCAATGGTAATGTATTCGTTCCTTCCTCAGCACCAAATAGGTCCATATCTATTTAACCAGTAGGAACCTCATTGTTAAGTTAATCTGCACGAAGGCATAGGTAAGCCCAGTATGTTTCACTGAAGTTTCAGCACTTTAGAAAATAGTCACTTCAATGTAATTTTCTTCATTCATTAAAATATTATTTTCTCTTTGGCACTATCATCTCAAAGGAAGCATAAGAAATTTAGATTTCTTTGAAAGAACTAAGTATGCAACAACAGAATTGAAACACTGTGTTACTTCACAAAGTAATGTAAGAATTTAAGAATTCCCAAGTAATGCTGATTTCAATGTTCAAAATCCAGTTATGTGCTTTGTTGTAAAACAGTCCAAACAAAAATTCCTTTGTTGTTTTCTGTCCTCTTTTTGAAATACGTAAATCCTACTGATGCTAATCTATTTTTTCCCACTTCAGAACACCAGGCACTGATTAATCCACTGGGGATTTGGCTTGCTTTCTAATACCTAGATTAAGAAAACAAAACAGAAGAAGTTATTAATCTGATAACATTATGAATGCATACAATAGATAAATTTTAAGTCAACCTTTAGAAAAACGGTATGTAGCAATTTCCCTCCACCTCAGGAACAGACACCCTATGAAATTAACAGCAATACATTATTTTAACAATGATTTAATGAAAGCAACTATGTCAGCAACAGAAAGCATGTGCCTGGTGCCCACAGTCTTGATGTTTAAAGTCAAAGAAACAGCCTCTGAAATGATCAGAAGTGAAGCAGACTGATGGACCAGCCCCTGCCCAGGTGAGTTCATTCTATGGAAAAAGAGTGGTTGCTTCCACCAAAAAGCAGTCATGGCCTTTGTGCCTCCTTACATTCACCCCTCTCCAGCATGGCTTTGGAAGGAAGATACATTAATAAGCAGAGATGGGTGCCAAAAAACAGTCAACAAAATATTGTATTTAAATGATGATCACAGATTCCATGACTGAAATCCAAACCATAAACTATCAATTTCCAAACGGCAAATTCTGTGAGGACAGGAGAACTTTAACCATAGTATCTTAGAACTGAAAGAGGCCTCACAGTCACCTGGCCCACATGTTTTGTTCACAATGAGGAAAATGAGTGAGCGAGTGTACGTTAATGAACCGTATCTATTTACAGAGTGGTTTTCACATACCAACAGAATGCTCTCAAATACCTGACTGCCATGAAAAACAGCCAGTCCCCAGCATGATGTGTCAGAGTTTTTTTTTTTTTAATGCAATGATGTTAGCATGGGAATCACTCTCTCTCTCTCTCTCTCTCACACACACACACACACACACACACACACACACACACACATACACACAGCCACCAGACTGACCACAGACTCCCTGTGACCTCCAGAATGAATCAAACTCTTTAGCTTGCTCCTTAATTCTCCCTTTGATCAGGTCCCAATGGACATTTCCAGCCTTTTGTCCAACTCTTAACTCCATGAAGTTATGTTTAGCCAAACTAGAAGACCTGCTTTTGCAAAGATGCCCGCCCGGCAGTTCCCTCCTGCCGTGCAGAGCCCATAAGGATGACTCCTCCCCAGCATGCTCCTCTATCTCTCTGGAGTGCAGAATTTAGCCTTCAAAGCCCGGCTCAAATGCTGTCCTAAAGTCACCTCGGAATCTCAGCCTGGAGAACTAACTCTCTTTTGTAATTCTGATCCCTAGCAAGGAAGCCTGAGGAGAAAGTCAAAATATCAGCATCATTCTCTTGAAGGTGACAGATTTTGTTTTCTCAAGTCAAGGGTTCTGCACTTTTCTTATTATTGCCCACTTATAGAGTAAGTATGATCTTGTATTTTATTATGAATAGCTAACTATGGATAACTTCAGTCTTCACATTTTCCTCTGATCAATATTGCTTATTAAAGTTCCATCTCAACCACTTTTGCCATTTAGTTGCAATCAGTGATAACTGGCAAATTAAAAATAATCCTCTCGATGCAGATGGTCTCAGCAGGAACCCCTCTTGTGGAATCACAATAGTGCTGGAGCAATAGAACAATTTTTATTTGTTCTAAATTTCAGGAAATGTCCAACTTAATGGATTCTACTGATGAAAGCAGACACATCTTATGTAGAGTCCCCTCTCAGAGCCTGTTCCTAGTGGGAAGTCAGAAGTCATAGTTGAGGGTCACCAAACTTACAGCAGAAATCCTTCTGGTCCCATTGCATTTTAATTTAACCTCATGGAACTTTTCATATTGCATCTCTATTACATTTATGTGTGACTATCTCACTTCCTCTATTCAATTCTAAATTCCTTGAGACACAGAAATTACATACATGAATTGTATGTAATTCATGTATGAATTGTTGAGTGGGAGATAGCACAAGCAGGGTCTGTACCTGGCAATGGGTGAGTGATTAGATCCCAGCTGTCATGGAGTGGGGCAGGAAACAGCATTAGGCAAAGAGTTTCATAAGTAATAAACTGGAATTATTGCAACAATCTACAAGGGCCACCTGCACAACCAGATTTAGGTGGACATGGGAAAGCCCCAACCCCCAGGCTCATGTGCTGCAAGGCACTGTTTCAGTTTCTGTATAAAAAAGAAATTTCTAGTAACTGTGAGTTTCTTCCTTTAGCTCCGCTATACCTTTCTGCATGACCCAGAGGCACCAGTGCCTCCCCAAAAGCAATGCAAAGTTGATGCATGTTCACTATCTTTCTGATGGTCTTCTGGTGATTGGGAAGGTATAATAGATCAGGAGTGTCTATCTCTGAGCATCAGTGCCACAAACATGGAAGAGCCTGTACATGGGTAGGCAAACTTATCCAATTGTCATTAATTATTGTCACCAGAGATCCTTCTGGTTAGTATTTATGTGCTGGAATTCCCTCTAGGATTTCATTGAAAGAAAGGCTTCAGGGTCTGCACACTCACCCTCTTTTTCGTAACGTGTCCCTTGGTACCTGTGGTTCTGGACATCAGATATGTAAAATCTGGATTTCCACAGCCCAGGTCATCATGCTTTACATTAGTGACTTTCAAAATGTACTTTGAAGAATTCTAGGAATTTCTTCAGAACTCCTTCAAGAAGTAGGGGGAAGGGTCAGGAAACTGCAGGGGCTCCTTCCGACCAGCTCACCCACACTGCATATTGAGCAAATTGACATACTATGCTTCCACACAAGTTTTCTGGGTAAACACCGTGTTCTCTGTGTATATCTTATCTTGATAGCTAAGCCTTAGGATGATTAAAAACCTTAATACTCCCTTCTTCTCTTGCATTATAAAAAAAAAAAGAGAAACACTAATTTTGTGATAGAGCAGATTCTATACAGCAATTTTTAAATTTTTAGTTTATTTACAAGGCAGCTACAGTAGTAGAAACAGATACATGTTGTGTATAATGCCTGCCAATAAACTAAAATTCTTTGTAAAGAAAATTGCTTAGGCAAATAAGACTTACGGTGAAATTGAGCAGCCTGAGGCATAGGCATGGTGTCCTGTGTAGCGAATGTCACAGCGCACAACGTTGTTGGTGTAGTCTGATTCAGGCACCAGATAGCTGGGGTTTACACTGACCTAGGAGACACCAGCAGCATTTCTGTTAGGGATTTCACCATCGTTACACCCTCATTATCTTCTCTCTCTCTCCACAGTCACTACAAGGGAATTATTGACAGGGGATTTAGCTAAATCAAGCGGAGAGTTTAACATCAGCAAGTGGCTAAACTCTGGAGATGTTACAGAAGTCTCCTTTTATAGAGGAAGTTTCCTTTGAAGTTCTTTAAAGTAAGAAATATTTTCATATACCTAGATAATTTAGAAATCATTGTAAAGGATGTACAATAACTTCCAAGTCATGATTACTTAACATTTTAAATCAGACAATGGGGCCTATTGATTTTTAATTAAATAAACTACATATTTTCAAAGGTTTCTACCTTTAGAATGTAGTTTCCAGGCTGTACATCTGTAATATCAATCCACTGGCAGTCTATGTCTGCCCCATAAGTATCATAGCAGCCAGGGCTCAGCCCCTAAAGCAAACAAAATAGAAAAATTAAAATGATGGTATATAGTTAGACTATGTTAAAGAATATGATATTATTTACAGATTAAATTTTAAGTTACTACTTACAAGAATTTGACATACAACTATACTAACATGTCATCTGCCTTGAAAATATACATTACTCAGCCTAAAACATGTCCAGTTGACACAGATACAGACTACAGTAATAGTTACTTACTTCACACTCACTTCCTAAGTGTGATCAATTGCCAGCATTAACTACAAAATAGTTAAAATAGGCCTCCACCAAAATTCTAGAATATTACCAGTTCAAGAATAAAAGTCACTTAGTATTAACTTAGCTCAATGTCCTATTAGTGAAACTCCCCTCAATTTTTTCTACTATTAGAAATTACCTTCTTGAATTCTTTGCTTTTTTTTTTTTTTTTTTTTTTTTTTTTGCAGTACTGGGCCTTGAACTCAGGGTCTTCACCTTGAACCACTACACCAGCCCTATTTTTGTGAAGGGTTTTTTGAGCTAGGGTCTCACGAACTATTTGCCAGGGTTGGCTTGAACCGAGATCCTCCTGATCTCTGCCTCCTGAGTAGCCAGGATTACAGGCATGAGCCACCAGCACCCAGCTCCTTCTTGAAATCTTAATTCCCGTGGTATTTTTGTCATGATAGCTTTCACAGTGGTTACCTGTTTCTGTTCCACATATAATTGTAGAACATATCTAACTAGACCTTACAAACTCTCTGAGTGTAGATCTGTGTTGCATCCTCGAATAGCTCATACTTACTAAGTGTTATGTGCCATAAACTATTTTAAACACTTTGCATATATAAATTCATTTATCACAACTACATGAAGCAGATGCCATTATTACCCCATCTTATAGATGAGGAAACTGAGGCATGCTAAACTTAATTTACTCAGGGTACACAGGTAGTGAATGGCTGAGCGGGCTTTGAGTTTAGGTGATCAGAGTCCATAGCACACGTTAATAGCTACCACACTGTACACGCTCACGAAATCACGGGAGTATTTGGCAGAATGAAAGGTACAGGTGTGTGCCTAAGTTAGTGAATGCTACATATCACTCCCACTGCCAAGATGTTCATGTCAATAATTGTCTTGTGCACGCTAGGAGGAGAAAATAGCGGTAAGATATGGTCTCTACTCTCAACAAAGTTAGAGTCTGGGAAAGTTCCCACCAATCAGAGTCTGTAGGTGTGTTCTTATTTTCACCAGCTCTTCACAGGAAGTTATAGCTGTTGTGTTTTTACTCTAATTGAAATCTAAAGCAAATCAGAAAGTATATGCTACAATAATTTTAATTCAATGCTGTCATTTAATTTCAGCACCCATAACTGTTTTGGTACTTAAGATCATCTCGGTCTCTAAGAGCACACAAAATCATCTCACGCTTTAAAGATTCGGGTTTGGCTGCAGCTGCGAGTGGGAAGAATAAAAGGGGAATTGTGCCATCATGACACATAGCATGTGACAGCACAGACAGGTCAAGCTCAAAAGTCCTCGAGCCACAGTGGTGAGAACCACATTCCGCTGCGACTGCCTGGATCCTCTGCTGGGCCATGCGTATGGTGTGGTAAACACACCATGAAGAACTGTAGCTTCAGTTTCAACACCAAATTCTGATTCTGCTGCATGATACACACTTAGTATGTGTTAGCTGCTGCTGCTGCTGCCAGCACTGTACTACAGCACTCATGACAGTGTAAAGGAATCCACTGCTTCCATATCCATTGAAGACAGGGATAAATAATGCTACTTTCAAGTGAGCAAAAGTGCTTTTAAAAATCCTGAAACTGGCTAGGCACGGTGGCTCACATCTGTAATCCCAGCCACTTAGGAGGCTGAGGCAGTAAGGTCACCTGAGTCCCAGAGTTTGAGACCATCTGAACTATATAGAGAGGCCCTGTGTTGAATAAATAAATAGGTAAGTAAATGCTGAAACTGGCACACTAAGATTACTAGCTTACAGAATTTAAGTTGAATATGAGCACTGATTATTTGAACTGGCAAAGAAAAAACTGGAATTACTAACACTATGAAGCAAGCAGACACTTCAAAGTCAAAATATAAAAACAGATTAACAGTAGAACCTTAGCCCAGACTGTCTAAGTTAGCTAAATTTGTGGTTTTAGCAAAATACAACTGTTTGCTACATTATGTTAATGATATTAATGTGACTATTTTCAGTTTTGTTTATAGTCAATATATATAAGATTATGGTCTAAGAACACAAGAGTTAGATAATAGTACAAATATACAGAAGCTATACCTACCATTAAAGATTGAATACACTTAAACAACATTGTAATAAAAGGAGTTTATGAGAATTTTTTTCCTTAAGAGCCACTGGTCTAATGGAAAAAATCACAAACTGCTTATAACAAAATATCTAATGGCTGATAGGAGGGTGAGTAACAAGAAAACTATCACAAAGAAAGAAGTGGGCTCCCTCAAGGAATAGGGAAGTGGAGATACTATAAATACCTACAACACAGATTCAGGGGGTTCACTCTAGAGTGAGATGTCCAGAGTCATCTTTTTCTAAATGGTGAGAAAAAACTCCAGGTCACAGGACGCACAGGTCACAGAGTAAGAAGAAGCTCCCCAGATGGACACATGCATGATATTCGAGTAGGTTCCATCTCCTCCTCCTTAAAGAGTAAATCCTGCCCCACATGTGTCAAATTTAACCTTTCCTCCCTTCAATCGCCATGATGGTCTAAACTCAGAGAAAAAAGGAATGGTAACATTTAGGTCACCAAAAAGCTTCCTGCCACAGCCTGGAATTTGCTTCCCAGGATGCCAGCTGCTGATCCCTCTGTTCCCTGGATTATGTATGTTCATGACTCCTTGCCAGGATTTGGGCTGGAGTAAAATTATAATGTCCTTTTACAAATTAGGGTTTCATATGGAAACACTGACATGGCTTTTAACTGACACACATTTTCCAATTATAAGACACTAAAACTGCTTGGTTCAGCACTATTTAAAAAAATTCATCCAAACTACATCTGATATCAATTATACTGTAGTTTTAAATATATATGTGTGTAGAGAAAGAAATGTGTTCTGTTCTTATTTTCATTATTAAAAGAGACAATGTTTAAAGTGTTTCTTAAAAAACTATTTCCTCTTCTGCTAACTTCAAACATATTAAGTGGAAAGTAAAAATGGTTTTGCAGGTGAGAAAACAGAGAGAGGCATAATTCCAACAATTACAGCCAGTTAAAGAATACAGAATGGATGCAGATGTTGAAAACCATTTATTTCAGAGAATAAACTGCTTTTCACTGTGGACCAAATAAGGGTCCATGGTGACCTTCTGTGGTCCTGAGTAGAGCTACATGCCTAACTGGAAACACTTTCAAAGTACTTTGGATCATCAAGTCATCATTTGCCTTTCCCGATTATTTTCCATCTTGACAAGAAGACCTCAAAATGAAACCATTTATTTAAAAAAAAAGAAAACAGCAGGCGACTTAGTTTTCTCTATGAGGCCTATGGACTCTGACTTCTGGGTATCAACTTACCTGTGTGTGCGCAGTACACGCAAATCGCCTGTGGTACCCATAGTCACAGGTGGTGTCCTCAAGACAGAAACTTGCTTTGTGGCCTTCAGCCACTCTCCTCTGTGTGCTGGCGTCCAGCAGGTCATAGTGGCTGAATTCATCCATGCTGTGGTAATGTCTAATGTCCCACACAACAAAGCAGTGGTGGCCAGTTACACATAGAGAAAACGTGGAGATACTAAGTGACTTCCCTGTTTCCTTGCAGAATTGAGGTCAAGGTTATCTTCTTAAAGAGATTCATGCTAGATTCCTCCCCAACCCTTACAGCACACACATGGAAATGTCTCAAAATTGTAAGCTTTGAACTTTGCGACTATGAGAAAAAGACAAGTATTTTGCATTTCCTTTACATCTTGAATACTAAATATAAATGGGAGTAAAGTATCTGCGTCAATGAAAGCTGCCATGTATTCTCTCATGTATTTCTTCTTGGATACCAGAGGTGCATATTACTCTTGGGAGGTTTCTGTGAGTTCTCATATATTTGAAAAATGGAGTTCTCACATATTTAAAATTTTTATGAAAAGGTAAAGAGGAAACAATGGTGTATTTTATGCATCACTATTATTTAGTTAGTATAAGCTTATTATTATTATTATTTTTTGGTGCCACTGAGGTTTGGATTCAGAGCCTCACTCTTGTTAGGCAAGTGCTCTACCACTTGAGCCACTCCACAAGCCCTTTTTTGTGTTGAGTTTTTTCAAGATAAGGTCCCAAGAACTGTTTACCTGGGCTGACTTTGAACCTTGATCCTCCTGATCTCTGCCTCCTGATTATAGGAGTGAGCCACTGGCACCCAGCAGTATAAGATTTTACACAGAAATAAAATATTTCTATTTTATCTGCATGGGGCAACTCATATCTACTCTATTAATTTCATTAAATAGAAGGAACTGATATGTTCTCACATGAGGAAAAAACAGTAAGAAAGGGCACGAGTTTCAGAAAGTTTAGGCCACATATCAGGATTTCGTGGCAATAAATCCCTGAGCAAGTTTCCAAGGCAAATGATAGCATTCCTTATGTAATTTAAGTTTAAAATCCTGAAATCTAGAATGGATCAGGCAGCTACTCTGGGTTGACACAGGCCTTTGTGTCTAATGGCCTTTGAAACCCTTTGATAATGAAATTGGTCTTTATTAAATGCTATTTAATGCTGAGTGACTGCAGATGATCTTGACTATAACAGACATTTTAAAAAATCCTACCTGCAGTGTAATGGAGTACCTCTTCTTGAAGTCAACTGCTGTGTCCTCTCAATAGTTTTAATGAACCAATTCAAAAAATAATGGGATCTAGCAGTTGAGGGATTATTTTAAAAACAGACTCCTTTGATTATGTCAAATTAAATAGAGAAAATTCTAAATACAAATAACAGCAAATGTCTTTCTTTGGGTTAGGACTAAGCCTTGTGTTTGTCAGATGACCATGTAAATTGAAGTACTCAGGAGGCCCACGCACTTACTGGTGACAACTGTGCCATTCCCAGGAATATCTCGGGCGGCTTGGTAAGAAGTCAGATGTTCCTTGATTTTTCACTCTTTGGGGAAATCTTAGCAACACCCTGTGATCATAATCTCTGACATCTGCCCTATATGCTGAACTGTGATTTGGGAAAAAGAAACATTATCATATTAACTAAAGACAAAACTACACACGAAAACTACAGACTACGCATTATATAGTGGTGACTTCTCCCACTTCCCACCTAGCCTATCAGTTCCAAGAGGCCAGGGCACTTTGTTTCTTTTGCTAACTGCTGAGTCCCAAGCACTTAGAAAAGTCAGAACTCAATGAACATCTGCTGAAGGAATGAATGAATGACAATGAAATCCCCAGATCTTAAAAGTAAAAATATAGTAGGACACACACTACAAATCTACATGTAAGAAGCTTTCAGGGTTAACTATATGAATGAATGAAACCAAGGCAGAAATCATCACAAATAAAAAATGACCCATACATACTTCAAGGTTCTTACTAAGAACCTTGAATTTAACAAAATATTTCTTCTTAAATAGATAACAAAGATATGGGAAGATGTGGGAAAAGGAACACACCCAGATTTAGATAAATACTTTCATAAAAACTTCACTATCTTCGTAGCAAGGGTACTACTGTAATGACATCATAAGGAGTTCAATGGTGTGTGTGATAAAAGACTCAAGAATGAAAATGACCTTGGATTTCTTCTCTTCCCCTCACCTGGCAATACAAAGGTCAACATGGAAGAAATGCACAAAAAGACACCACCGTGTTCCTCCTGGTATATTAAGTGCAATGTACTCTGGAACACCGTTAGCGACTTGTGACATGTTGACATACTGTGGAATTTACCAAAACAACTTTTGCTCCCTCTGCTGGCTTCCTAGCAGCAAACTCAGAGAACCCCAATTCCAGAAGAGCTATTTTATTTTAGGACTGATGGAAAAACAAAACTCTTGCTCACGATCTGATTCTGGCTGAAGTTAACACCAAAACAACCCAGTTAATCATGGCCTGAAGCAAAAGAGAGAAACTTGGCTTTTTACCCATGAGGGCGCCACCGCGGCAAATTTGCCCCGAGTCTTTTAAGAGAATATTAACAAGCTCTTCCATTATAATATTTTTCTAGGTTACTGTACAGTTGTTTTACAGAAAGTTAATGGAAATAGCTGGCTCCAGGGTTTAAGAATGCTGGGGGAAAAAAGACTCTGCCTTAGAATAATGGTTTGCCCCACTTCCCTGATTTGCGCAGCACTGTGAGCCAAAACCTATAGAAAACTTCCAAATTTCAACTCTCCATCCAGATCAGCACTTCCAGGAGGTCACGTCCCACTTCCCAGCCCATGTCCCAAAGAGAAGCAGTTAGAATCGGGCACCATGGTGACCCCAGAACCCAAGCAGGGGAGCGGGGCATACCTGGCCAGACAGTTTTCTTCCGCGGCACACCTCAGGTTATACATAGACATCTTCTGCACGTAGGTGGACGCCTGGATGTAGTAGGGGTCGGGCACCAGGTCTGGGAGACCTAAATATCAACGGTCAATCTACGCGGCGGTGACACAACCTGGCGTCCCCCTTCTCACTCCACCTCACGTCCCTTACTTGTCCCCCTTTGCCCACCACAGCTGCAAGATGGGGCTGGGGGGTGCTGGAGAACTGGGGACGCCGGGCTGCCAGGCCAAGCGGAAAGGAAGCAGAAGGAGCCAGGCTCGCGGTTTGCACCAGATCCAGATTCCAGAGCTGGCTCTGCAGGCTCAGTGGGAGGGGAGAGGAGGGGACGGGAGGGGACGGGAGGGGAGGGGAGGGGATGCGATGGGAGGAGAGGGAGGGGAGGGGTCGGATCGGATCGGCGGGGACCCGCGGCCGCCGCGCCCAGGCGGCCACGTCGAGGAGCCACAGAGTTGGGGACCGGGCGCTTCCCACGGACTTGGGGGCGCTTACCGTACTGGAAGTAGCCGGTGCCGTATCCCGGCCGGTACCTGCTACCCGACCGGGGCCTCTCGTACGTGTCGTAGTAGTTGTAATAAGGGTTGTCGTCGGAGTACTTGTAGGGGTTGTACGGGTCGTCGCCCACCATGCCGTCCACGTGGCTGGGCGGCCGCAGGTTGCTGAGCTCGGGGAGCTGTCCCGATGCCGTCCGGTTAGGCGCGTCGCGAGCCCCAGAGGGCGAGTAGCCAGCCTGGAACCAGTGTCGGGCAGCGGGCCTGGGGCGGCCGGTGGCGACCCCGAAGGGGCCGGCGACCCGCGCCCGCGCAGCGGCCGTGCGGTTGTCGCGCAGCAGCAGGATCGGCGTGCGCGGCTGCGGTTGCGACTGCGGGACCGGGGCGCCCTGGGCACCCGCGGCGGCGGCGCTCGGGTCCCGGCGGCGCTGCGGCCGGTACTGCGCGCCCAGGCTCAGCAGGCTGAACACCTGCCCGTTGTTCTCCCATTGGATCTGGTGGCGCCAGGCGCCCGGGGCGGCGGGCGGCTCGCGAGGGGGCTGCTGCGGACCGGTGGCCTGCGGGGCGCAGCGCAGGAGCGGGCAGAGCTGCAGCGGCCCCAGCAGGAGCACCGTCCAGGCGAGGCGCATCGCTCCCTTCCCCGGCTCGTCCCCGCCGCGGGAGGTCGGGGCTCGATCGCGCGAGGAGGGGGGCGGGCGGGAGGGCGCAGCGCGGGTGGCTCGGTCCCCACCGAGCAGGGCCGAGGGCTGGCGGCAGCCCCTTCCCGGGTCAGGGCGGCTGCTCGACGTGGCTCGCGTCTTTCTCGCGGTTCCCGGTCCTTCTGCAAGGCGACCAGGAGCGGCGCGGCGGTCCCCGACAGCGGGCAGTGTCTGGAGAGAAGGAAGGAGGAGAGAATTTAAACTTTCTGGCACGTTTGCAAAGTTACACAAGCCGTTCTGGCCCGGCTGCCCCTCCGCTATTTGTTCACGTAATGCGATTGGAAACGTGCAAGGCGGACAGCTCCTCGATTCTGCCCCTCCCTCTCTCCCCGCCCTCCCCCTCCCTACCCCCCCCCCAGACACGTTGCACAGGGAGGGTTCAGGGGAAAAAGCAAAACGGAACACACATCCTGAGACACGCTCGGCTTAATCTAGGGCGAACATGCAGGAATTTCAAAAGACTCAGACAGGCGAAGGCAGCCAGGCCATGGGGCTAAGCCAAAATATGCATGCAGAAAAATGCTATTAGGTCACCAGCCCTGGAGAGGCGGGAAGTCAGGAGGTGGGGAGGGTGATGGGGGCGAAAGTGTGTGTGTTGGGGATGGGGGCGACGGTGGTGACTAAGGCTTATCCATAAAGCAGTTAAGCAGTCACATTTCCCAGTACACACTCACCCACTTTTATGGGAAGCGCCCTCAGCAAATAAACCCCAAGATATCAAATTTTGTTTTTCTGAGTGTAGGTAATATGAGAAATGGGTTACAAATCTGTTTCCTACAGTGAATAGTTTAATAACCAAAAGTGAAATTTTACAGGGAACAAAGCTTGCTAAAGCTAAAGCGATGAATATATCGGTCCCTTTTTCAAAATACCGGCCTGATTTGTACTTTGAGTGAAAATGAAGTATTCCACTGTGTACCAGGAAGCTAGACCAAGTCTGCTTAAGAGAGCACTTACTCCACGACGCCTTTTGATTATCTTCAAGGAAACATTGCATCTGACTTTTTCCTTTTTCTCTTCTACATCTAACAAGGAAGTTTGGATTGGGGATTATGAAAATTTAAATCAAGATTGATAAATACTGAAATCCAGTGAAGTATCCCCTGGTGTTTGATTCATCTTCCCATCTAAACAAAGAGATTGCAAAAGAACAGCCTTTGAGTTCAGAGTTTGGTAAAAAGAAGGGAATGGGATGGCCAGAAGGAGAATGGGTAGGAGGATAAATTATACTTACTGGAAAGAGACGCATAATGGGTCAGTTATTCACATAACACTCAGAGTTTGGGTAATGTGGGAAGAATTTCAAAGAAAAATTGCTACTAAATGGTCCAACTTAAAATTTCTACTCAAAGCCAGATTTTAATATCCATTTTATTGGTCTCATCATTGTGCTGCTTAGGTGTACTTTAATATTCACCTGTTAGTCTCTGGCTTTCCATCATCCATCACCACATTTGGCGGTGTGGTAGACATCTGTTATTTGGATGTTATTTCCCTTTCCTTGCTGTCAAGAACACCTATATGTTCTTTGGGCAATTTCTCCTTCCCAGCAGCATGGTAGGACTGACTGAGCATTCATGAGACTTCCCAGGCAGTGGTCTTGAGAGCCTTCTTTGGCTAACAGAACTGAATCCTAGAATGTGAATCTTGAGAACATATGGTCAAAAATATTTCTCTTCCCATTACCAGAGAAAGTGGCTATTAGGTCTCTCTAAGCAGATGCCCCTGAGCTATTTCAGGCCAGGTCAGCTTTTCCTTTCATTTTTCCAACAGGTTACTTTGTCAGGCGAATTTCTGTTGTTTGTCACCTAAGAACCTTGAGTGACACTGAAGGTTTGGAGGCTGTTTTCTCAGTCAATTAAATCATGTGATGTGAGCCCAGGGTGATAAGTTTGGCTCTTTTTGAGTCAGGCTAGATTTGTTCTGTTCATGGTCACACAGCACCCGTGGTCACAAAGGGATATTAGATGGAAGCTTGCCAAGGAATTGGGAAATCTATTTACTTATTATGGGAACATAAAAGTTCAAGTGCAAACTTACCAATGGCAAGTCAGCAGTGAATTCTTTCTGACAAAAGTCAGAGATTTCCCTAGCTGTCCTTTTCCAGACTGGCTGCCATGCTTGAAGTTAAACTATTCCATTTCTCCAAATCTACTAAGGGAGATGGAGTAAAAAGGGGAAAACAAGGAGGGGAGGAGGGGAATGGCTCAAGTGGAAGAGTGCCTGCCTAGCAAGCACAAGGCCTTGAGTTCAAACCCCAGGACCACCAAAAAGAAGAAACAGGTGTATATAATTTGGATGGACAGATGAAATTATAGGAAAAGCAGGAAGGGATAGAGTGTAATTATCTCTCATCTGAAAAAGACTCTGCACTTGCTGTGAACAGCTTATTCTCCAGAAGAGGAAAAACCCCAAACTGCTATTACTTGTCCACGGGTTTCTGAGGAAAGACTTGTGCTGTGAAGGTCATTCTGTTACAGAGACAGACCAAAGTGACCCCTGATGGGAGAGCAGAAACCTTGTACTGGGTCCCAGATAAAATACCTTGGTTTCCAGTTCTGGTTTTCTCCTTAAAGAAAGAAAGGGGGGAAAATGCTGGGCCTCTTTATAGAGCTGATTCATCAGTTATCTGTAGGATTCAAGGATTAACCCAAATCCTTTCTAAAATATTTTTCATAGTTTTAAAATCTCTGATTTTTGTGAATATCCAAGTTATTTACACTACTTTCAAGATAGTCATTATGCTTTATTGTGACTAGTAAGATTTAACCAAATAATTCCTTTAGGTGAACCTTAAAGCATTGGGTGCATTTTTTTGTGTATGAGTTAGAGCCTGCAGACTATAATTTCCTCTTTTTTACATATTTTCCATTAGTGACCTTCTATATACATTTGTTTGTTTTATAAACATTTCTTTTTTCTTCTTTTTTTTAGTCTTTTTTATTATCACATTATTGTTGTACTGGGGGTACATTGTGACATTTATAAAAGTTCTTACAATACATGATAATTGAATTCACTCTCTCCATCATTCTCCTTTACACCCCCTCCCCCATTCTTGGAATAGTTTCAACAGATCTCATTTTCCATTTTCACATGCAAATACATATTTCCACCACATTCACCCTCCTTCACCTTTCCTTACACCCTCCCCCTCCCACTGGCACCAATCCTCCCAGACAGGACCTGTTTTGCATTCTTCTTCTCCATTTTTGAACAAAACAAAAAGACATTTTTGTGCAAACATTTCTTGAGCACACTTATTCCCTGAAGTATACTGTATTGGTAATTTGCACCCATGAGCACTAAAAATTTAAAGCTGAACGATGCTGACCATCTTTTCCAAATTTGCTCCAACATATTTAAAAATGTTTTATCAGAATATAAATAATTGGCTGGAGCAGTAATGGTGTGCACACTTTATTTCTTTTAAACGCAAACAAGCTCACTTGTACGCAGCTTGGGAGGGGCACATAACCCATTGTCATCTACCCTAATGAAAGCTTCGCTCATTTTCTCTCTCTTTCATTTCCTCTAAACTCTCTGGTTTAAGACTTAGCCAGCTGGAAAACAAACATGTGGCTACCACATTGGGGACAATAGAAAGTGTTCGCAGCCACACATTGTGCTCTCTGTTCAATGCAAAACTATTGTTTATAAAACTAGAGAAACCACTTTCTTCCCACTCAATGCTGAAATTAATGAAAAGTAATAATAGCAGTAGCAGTGATTACCACAACTGTAGCTACATCAGACACCTCCAGCTTTTAACGCCGGTAAGAGTCACAGCTGATTCCACTTTTGATGACAACACTTGCTTTTTGTGGACGATTCAGCAGGAGGCACCGTAAGTGTCTGGAGTGGAGAGAGAGTGGGGCTGTGAAAGTGAAAACCTGTTTCCTAGTCGCTCTATCATTAACTGGACTTCCTTTAAAACACCCTAATGGGGCTGGGGAAGAGCTCCTTAGCGTGTGCAAGGCTACGGGTTCCCTCCCCAGGGCATGCATGTGCACGTGCGTGTGTGCATACACACAATTCGTTTATTCCTTTTTATGAGTTCATCAACATCATGGTTTTAAACTGCCACGTCTGACCAATCAAATACAGGCTGTGTTCCCAGGGTTTGTTAAATGAATTTATATTTGTAATATAGTTCATAAAACTAAACAACAGAGTTATCCAGAAAGCCCAAATAAAGCAGGACTCTGAATTATCAAAGCCAGAATGGTAATGGGATAGTCAAAGGACTGGAGTTTGATCAGAAGCACATAAATTCTTTTGTTTGGGGCTCTGCAAGCACATATAAATACTGTTCTTTGGTAAAGACTAATGTATGTGCTTTGGTGCCACCATGCAGGCTTTTATTTATTGTTTATTTACTTATTTCTGAGTCAGGGTCTTGCTATGTAGCCTAGGCCCAGGTTGGCCTCCAGCTCTTAGAGTCAGGTAGGACCGGGGTTTGAACTTGCAAAGCATGTGGTGCTCTACCACTTGAGCCACACCTCCATTCTGGCCTCCAACTCTTGATCCTCCTGCCTCCTGAGAGCTGGAGTTACAAGCATGCCCCAACACATTCCATTCACTGTGTGGTTTTAAAACATCACAGCATAAAATAAAGAAGTGGAAAGCTGGAGAAGTTTAAGGGAAAATGGATGAGAAAACAGTTAGTATAGTAGAAGAAGGACTGAATTCAGAGTTGAAAGAAGACATTGAGCACACTCTTAAAAGTAATTTAAAAGAGTAACAGAGTGAAAGAAAGAACCAGAATTTCCTTTTTAAACTGGAGTAGAATGAAGGAGAGGAATGAGTTTGCCTTAAAGTTGGCTGCATGTCTGTGTTTCTGCCACTTATCCCTGTCTTCTGCCACATACCACTTCCAGGTATTCACCCAAATATAAAATGTAGACGGTTGGTACACACTTGTCTGTGTGTAAAGGCTGAACTGAAAAAGAAATCTGTAAACAAACTAGGT